GAGAGTCGCCCGAGCTTCCTCTCCGTCTCCCCACAGGACTGCCAGTTCGCCCTGGGGGGCAAGGGCCAGAGCCCAGACCTGCAGGTGAGGGGCCAGCATCTCGGCCCAGCAGCTCGGGGACCGTTTCTGCGAGCGCGAGGGGCTCCACACCAGGGCATCCGTGGGGTCCTGGTCCTACCCCGTTGGGGGTCTCTCAGTCTGGTGCCTGCCCTGAGCCCTGTCTCCCACCCGGCAGATGCTGGCTGTGTACTCCCTGCTGCCCTTTGACAACCAGGATGGCGGCGTGTGGAAGCAGGGCTTCGATATCACCTATGAGCCCAACGAGTGGGATGCTGAGCCCCTGCAGGTGTTTGTGGTGCCGCACTCCCACAACGACCCGGGTGAGCAGCAGGCGAAGGTGGGCAGGGGAGGAGAAGGGCTAGTCCAGCCCCTGCTGCCCCGCACTGCTGGCGGAGAAGGGCTGGGCCTCCCGCAGTGACCCCCACACTGTGCTGGCAGGCTGGATCAAGACCTTCGACAAGTATTACTATGACCAAACGCAGCACATCCTCAACAGCATGGTGCTGAAGATGCAGGAGGACTCGCGCCGGCGCTTCATCTGGTCCGAGATCTCCTTCTTTTCCAAGTGGTGGGACAACATCAGCGCCCAGAAGCGGGCTGCGGTGCGGAGGTAGGGCTCCCGGCATGGTCGCTGCCCGGAGGCAGGGCACTGCAGGAGGCACCGGCTGTGAGCACGGGGTGTGCGAGGGAAGGGCCCTGGGGAGACGAAGGCTGCCCTGCCTGCAGGGCAGCGGCCGTGGGCTCCACTCTGCTCAGCGTGGGGTGCCCCGGCTCTGCCAGCAACCTCCCAGTGCCGTGAGACGTCAAAACCACAGCAGTGTGGAGCGAGGGAGAGCCAGGGTGCTGCCAGCACCAGGGGTCTGAGGGGCTGGAGGAGGCAGGTCTTGCCCTGCGCTACTCCCTGTGCTCATGGGGCTGGGAAACTCCTTCTCATCACTGTAACCCCAAGCATGTGAGCGCTGCTGCAGAGCCTGAGCAGTGCCAACGCCTTGCAAGGCCCAGGGCGCCCTCAGGGTAGTGAGAGACCAGGAAAGCAGGACTGTGTGGTGGGAGAGGGCCCCCTTGTCAGCCCCCCTGCCCCAGGAGCGCTGAGGGTGGAGGTCAGAAGGAACATGGGCTGCACGGCACAGCAGAGGGTGTGGACCTGTGTGGGGATGGGCTCTGGCTGGGGCCTCATCCAGCGTGGTGCTGTGGAGGGACGTCTGCCCGCGTGAGGACAGCGTGGGCAGGGGACCATGGCAGCCGGTGGTTGTGGAGGCTGCGGGTGGGACCCGGGTGGCTCCAAGGCAGCAGAGGCCCTGCCACGGCACACGGCTCACGGCAGGGCTCTGCCCGGAGCTGATTGCAGCCCGCCGGTCCCCCTCGCAGGCTGGTTGGCAACGGGCAGCTGGAGATGGTGACGGGCGGCTGGGTGATGCCGGACGAGGCCAATTCCCACTACTTTGCCATGATCGACCAGCTGATTGAGGGGCACCAGTGGCTGGAGAAGAACATCGGTGAGAGCTGGGTGGGATGCTGGGCAGGAGGGGCAGAGTGCTGGCTGGGGGCCTGCGTGATGGGCCAGCAAGTGCCCCCATCCCTGGCAGGAGCCCCCTCACACGAGGTGCTGCTGGGCCCGGTGTGGGGCTGACGGGTGTCTGTGCCCCCAGGCGTGACGCCCCGGTCAGGCTGGGCTGTGGACCCCTTCGGGCACAGCTCCACCATGCCCTACCTGCTGAAGCGCTCCAACCTGACGGCCATGCTCATCCAGCGCGTGCACTACGCCATCAAGAAGCACTTCGCTGCCACCCGGAACCTGGAGTTCATGTGGAGACAGACGTGGGGTGAGGGGCTGCTGGGGGGCGACCGCAGAGGGGGCCCTGCCGGGACGGGTGGCAGCAGGGAACAGCCACCAACCACTTTCCTGCACAGATGAGCCGAGCGCCGGGAGGGGATGTCTCTGCCCCACGGGACAGCCCCAGGGTGACTCCCCAGCCACCCCTGTGCCCGGTGCGCCAGGGGAGGCTGCTGTGCTCTGTGGGCTCTGGGCGGGCGAGCCCATGTGCCAGGTCTGCTCTGCCCCCACAGCCGTCCGTGTGCCCCTGGGCCCTCCTGCTTGGGGATAGGCAAGGGAGAGCCACTGCTGGCGCTCAGCTGCCCTTGGTCCCGCAGATCCGGACGCCAGCACCGACATCTTCTGCCACATGATGCCCTTCTACAGCTACGATGTGCCCCACACCTGTGGGCCGGACCCCAAGATCTGCTGCCAGTTCGACTTCAAGCGCCTGCCGGG